CAGTCTGGGGGTCTCAATCACCATCTCGGCTATCACACTGAGTAGCTCGGGTAGGGCTGCTGATACATAGCGGGGAGCCAGGTATACAATCAGCACGCCCTGCTGCCTCCCATGACCCCACTTCACACCTAGGGATTCACAACCGGCAGTCTGCGGCACAGTGGTCTCCCTTGGATCCAGGCCTTCCCTAATAATAACCACCACCACCCCACCCTGTTAAGCACTGGAATCACTGTTATTAAGCACTGGAATCACCAGAACTATGGAACAAATTACTGCAGGAATAGGGGTAGGTGAAAAGCTGCTCTTGAGAGGCAACTGAAATTGATTAAGGCCATGAGAATGAGTCCTCTTAGAATTTACAAAAGTGAGCAATCCACAAGATATTTCTTTTAGACAAAAAACTTCAGATGGTGGCACTCCTCTTCCCCCCCAGAGGCCTGGAACCATTGAACTGACCTTCACTTCAAAGAAAGCTGAACCAAATGTTGGCCAACGATATATGAACTTCAAGAAGGCAACTTTGGCCTCATCCACACTTTTTTGTCCAAGTTTGTTGACAGCAGAAATAATATTCTGTAATATAATGTGAATCAAAACTAATCAGTTTTTTTCCCATTAGAATTTTTTTCTTGGGTAGTGAGAAAGTAGTCTTTCCTTGTACCCACATAATCACACAAACTGATTTATTTTAGAACTTTTCACTCCAAGATTACAAATAACATATTTTGCTATAGGCAAAAGTGATGGCACTGAGCACTGTAAATTATTCCTTCAAATTAAACTTCCAAATAAGAAGTCAAAGAAATAAGTAAAGCGTGGCACCTGTAACAATTAAACAGAAGTATAACAAATATAAGAATGGCAGTTTCTGAAATGATTGTTATCAATGAGAAATTTTGCAAGAAGTAAACTAGATTTATTTGCAGATGAATCTTTGGGGTGGCATATAAATTATGGAAAATAAATAAATTATGGGAAATAAATCAGTAGCTTTACAATGCTGATCAAAAGAGGAAGACCAATGTAAGTTTTAAATAATATATAATACTAAAGTAATATAAGATCCTTTATACCCGTTTCCACTCCTCTGGAGATAGTATTGGAATCATGTTCTCAGGCACTAGTTCCTTCAGTATTTTAGGTATTGCAGCCTGTTGTGTTCGATCACCGTTAAAACGAACTCTGAAAATCAGCCCGGCCAATTGGATAGCATCCTCTTTTGAGCACTTGTGATAGCCTCGCAGATACTTCGGCAGTTCCTGACATGTAAAAAAGAGACGTTAGCACTGACTGAGATTATTTGCATATTTGAAATGATGTGTACATAATGAAAACATGAAAATATTTGTCCTGTGGCATCTAGATCTTATTTCTAGAAAGAGTTTTGCAAGATTTTTGTTTTGCAATAAAACACCAAACTGGAAGTAGAAAATCTCTGGTTCAGACACATTCTCAAGGCTTGCTTTTTTGGTTAGCTGTGACTGTTCCAAAATGTTATTTTAAGATACCTGCAGTGTCAGCTGTAAAAATGTTTTTTTCATTTTTGTTCAGTTATCATGAGGAAGATTGATATTTTAATTTGATTAATTTCAGTTTTACCAATCCTATGTATACACCCAAGGGATCTATCTCATTGCTATCAATTATATTCTATAACCAGTATTCATACATGTTGTGAAATGTCTATATTATGACAATCATATATACAAATATATGCAAACAATAATTGATGCAAACATTCATGCTAGTGATTATTTCACTGCTATCATCAATCCTGTTTACCTGATGATAATGAAAGATGCAATCAGCGTTCAAATCTTTCCCAGGTATCACATTCAGCCACAACTTTCTCATGAAATATACCTGATAATTCATAGTGGTGGAAAACACTAGAGAAGCAATTTCAGACATTTAAATAAACATTTCAAAGAGACATGTACAAGCACTTAAAATTTTTACTTCTATTCCTGATATCTCCTAAACACATAGATATAAACTACACTGAACCAGAGCATGAGGAAAATAAGCTTTCTATAACAGTTGGAAAAAAGCTATATTATTTTTCAAGTCAATTATACTTTGGGTGATAAATATTCAATAAATCCATGTTTCTGCATAAATGTCTTAGCTATTTCAATACATTTTTTTCAAGAAGAGATGATCAACATGGAATTGCTAGCCAATTCCAAATGGGTTGAGATTAGAAAGATTTCATTTTTATCTTGTTTTGTTTATGGTTATGTATTATACAAAAATATCTCAGATAAATCACCTTTAATAAAGCTAGGTCCCAAAAGAGCCCCTCCTCACTTCTCAGTTTTATGTATCCCTTTACTGATAATTAGCTGCCATCCAGATATTTGCAGTTCATCTATTGGGAATTCAATCAAAGCAATGGCTTGGATGTATTCAGTCAAGCTTATCTATTACAATATGCTTGATTTAGGGTGGCCTGGAAACCCCACAAGTAATATGTAACAGCACTCTCTAATCAGGTTACTGTTTCTCATACTAGAACTAAAATATAGCTATTATGACTAGAAGCCATATATATCCTTCAGTGAATCATATGCATGTTTACCTGAAAGAAAGTTGAGGCACTTATTTCCAAATAGACATGCAAAACAGACATACACTGCAAATATTAATAGCGTCTAGGTTAAAGTCAACACCCCATATTTCATCTTTTCATGTCCATACCCTCTTTTCCTGGCCTATTCTTCCGAGTCCAGTCAGTCACCTGTCTCAAGGAGTCAAAGAAGTAATCTGCTTCATTCTGGCTGATCACCTAGAACAGACAATAAAAGGGAGCTGAGTTACTACAAAAAATTGAATTATTAATTCTCTGAGATAACATTCCAGAAGAACCAGCATAAGAAACTGTCAGCTGCCTTTCTGGCACAGTTAAAGATGCTTTCTTATATCAGGATGATTTCCCTCACACAAGCAGTCTGTTACTGTTCTTACATCATTAACTGGGTAATTTTTGTATAACCCAATTAAGAGCAGCAACTCCACTTTTTCTGTACTGGAGATCAAATTTATATAGCCACCCATCTCAGAAAAAGTTATTTTGAGAATTAACAACACTCAGATAAAACAACACATGTATAAAACAATCATTATAATAACTGTAAGTGACCTCTTTTTAGTTTCAATATATGAGGGAGTTTAAAATGTAACTTTTAACATACAGATTAATTTAACTTGTTTATCTTCATGGATTTGATACACTGAATGTTATTGTTGCTTATTATATATTTTTCAAAATTGTCTAAAGCTAAAAGTTTTTGGACTGAGTGGCAAATAAAAGTCACTGAATTAAAATAACATCAACATTAATCCCTTAGAATGTAACTCAAACAGAATAAAGAACAGAAATGAAATTAAAACTGCAGAGCAGTGACAGAAGTGAGGCACAGAGGAGATAATACAGAATAAGATGACAAAACAGCCACTTGGATATACACTGTATGAGGAATAAGAAGCAAAAATATTTTTAGACCCATCAAAACTTTCTAGTTCTCCAAATCTCTTCATCAGATAGAACTGATATACTCATGTCAAATTACCTTATCTGAAATCTTGATAAAGAGGCTAAATCCATCCAAGGAGCTCAATTCCATTTTGTTGCCAATCATCTGACATAGATCCCATACTTTTGTGTTTGTTCCTACATCAAAAACCTGGACCATAAGAACAGGAAATTAAAATGACTAGTTTGGAAGCAAAAAGAATAGGTGCAGCTTGCATAGGCGTACAGACTGCTAAAAGTAGGCTATCTGCCTGCTTGGCTGTTTGTTTCTGGAAATTAAAGCACAATATATTTAAGAACACAATGTGATTATCAGATGGTGAAAAAAGCAACAGAAGATGGGACGTTATCATCCCTTATGATTTGCTCAGGCGTGCCTAAATGGAACCCGATAGATAGATTAGATAGATGATAGATAGATAGATAGATAGATAGATAGATAGATAGATAGATAGACAGACAGACAGACAGACAGACAGACAGACAGACAGACAGACAGACAGACAGACAGACAGCAGACAGACAGACAGACAGACAGAGATAGGAAAGAGAAAGAAAGAAAGAAAGAAAGAAAGAAAGAAAGAAAGAAAGAAAGAAAGAAAGAAAGATAGATTATAGGCTGCCCATCTTACCTCAAGGTGACTCTATTACCTTCTGATTCACCATGACAGTTTCCCTCAATAGTCACTTCTTCCAAGCTGACTTTTTATTTTTCTCTCTTCCCCGCCCATTCCACAGAGGATGATGACATTTTTATCCCACCTTATATATAACTCAAGAGGGCAAGGATACTTTACTCCTCCCTCCTATATACCCTCCCACCCATAATAACAAATATTAAACCTGGGATATATATCAATATGAAAATAAAAGAACTTAACCTCACCTGCTCTGTCTCATTTGGAAAATGAACCTTGTGAGAAATCTTGGTGATATTATTCTGAATTGCATCCACTTCTACACTGTGTGGAGCCCACTTCCGACAGCCACTCCTGAAGAACAGAAATACAAATGACTCTTAGAACTATCTTTGATGGAGAAGTTCTTAATGCTAGCACAAGAGAGTCAATTTTCACCAGCCTCACAGGAAAGGTAGTTGAGATGGGAGTAAAAATAGAGACAACTAAAGCTGAAGGTTTTTTTTTTATAAAAAACAGTTTCTATCCATGCATGCAATAAAATATTATGTATATTTTGGAGCAGAGAGTGAAGGAAAAGAAAACCAATTGCATTCACAAAAATACCTTAACAAAACCACTAAAGGATGAGGAGGCTAAATTAATCTCTCCTCAGGAAAGAAAGATTTTCCTCTTCATAATGATTATAGATTAGTTTATACATTATATAGACTTTATAGACCTGATTAGCATTCTGTAATTATTTAAAGAATAAAAAGCATGAGCCAATCACAGAGCATTAAAAACAACCTTGTACCTCATCACTTTTTGGATCCTATGTCTGCATTCCAATGCCAAGTTCTCCTTCAGACGAGTCTCAATGAACTTCTGAACATGTTTCAGCAATGATTTACTAGGTGGAAAAAGGCCTGTACAAAGCCACAGTAACTGCCAACCACTGTTCAGGCTATACCTGCCATGTGATAAATAATTTCAAAATTTGCATACAAATATCCAAAACCTAAGCCAAAAATTCTTCAGACTTAGAAATCTATTGGGCAACTTAGACCGATGTTATGATTTGTGCTTACTTTACAGTAATTTTTTGTTGTGAAACTCAAGGAGTTTCTGCAGTCCAAATGCAGCCTCCCCCCCGACCCACAGATCAATATGTTGTTTGTTGTTGCAACCACTGATATAAAATCTATCCTATTGAAAGAACTTCCAATTTAATGCTCCAACTTGGCACGTCCAGTGCCAGCCAAAATGGTCATGTCAATTTGAAATATTTGGTTAGAAATACTTTTTTGTTACCTCTTGTGGTTTTCTGTTAACTGTTTCAAGATCTGACAGTAGACCTCATCTTGCAGAGTATCCTCCTGGATTGCCACTAAAAATATCTGGTCAGTAAGTTCCACAGGAGATCTCTCTTGCTTTGAGGGATAATCTCCCATGTATTTCATAATGGGTGAGCAAAAAAATATAAGGAAAGATGTACCAAAAAAATAAGTACAACTACAAACCAACTCAATACTCCTTCTGAAGGCAGCAAGTAACTACTTAGTAAATGCTCTTTAGTAGAAGCTACATTTGACTATTAAGATAATGCTCTCTTACATACCTATCTTATACTAACTCATTTTGTTGCCCAAAACTTTTTGTTTTGCCCCAATTCTCTTAGCATAATTAATTTGCTTGTTCTGGCAATCACCATTTCTTTGCTCTGGCAATCACCATTAATGTAATTTTTCTCCTGGATTATCCAATTTGGTTACCTAAAATCTAGATCCACTCTTCATCCTCTTCTCAGTTTTCTGCACTCAGATAAATTAAACCATGTCAAACAATTAACAAACATGTAAAGGTATTTATCAATACCTATCTGTTTCTTCATTTTTTTTAATTAAAAATAGTTCCAAGTCAGGCACCAAAGCATAGAAACCAGTTCAGAGAAAATAATTATATTCTGCCCATTACCAAATAAACTGACTTTAGCATGAAGGATATCAATGAAGGTCTGGCAAGCAAAGTCCAAGAGGTCTGGATTAGAACACACTTTCTTTAGCAAAGGCCTTTTCAGGGGCTCCCTAGAATGAACCCACAGATGATTCCGCCCTCGGGACTTGGGTAAAACAGCCTTGCTGATTGACTCCTTCTCAGGTACTCTGAAGAAACATAAAACTGTTTCAAACCATAGTCTGATCAATACAGACAACTAACTTATATCTGTTGCTTACAGGCTAATATACCCTAGTTAGAATTTGGATCTTCCCTAAGATTCATCACCTACTACTCAGAATTAGAATTAATTCATAAAGTAACAACAGGACAAAGCCATTTTCATATAGCAAAATCCTATACCTCTCTGTTAACATCTATCAGAAAGAATCAAACTAATTAAAAAGTTAATATGGATATAAATTATGTTGTCAAATGGTGATTTTTTTTCTTACAAAAGGGGCTCTTAGGAGTGAGGGGAAACACTTGAATGTTTGAACTGGAATCCAGAAAAAGTGCAACTCTATCAGGCTTTGAAATGAAAGAGCTATATGTACTGGGATGGTCTGTTATGGACTGATGAAAGACCCAGAGAGCAAGATAGGACTGAACTACAGATCAGTCTTTCTAATTTACAGACATGGCTGTAATGAATGGGAGTTGAAGATAGAGGATCTGTCTGTCTCTTCAATATACCCACAGGGTGGCGAGGTGGCAGCGGCAAGGTGACACTGGCAAGTTATTCCAATCAAGCTTGTATGTTCTACAGAGGAATATCCCATGTAAATGCAGTCAAGCAGCACCATTTTTCCCTCTCTAATGCCTTTTGGGTGCTGTGATTATTTAATGCTAATATTCCCTTGTGGCACTAATCAGCACTAGTGCAGTCAGTATTACTTTATGAAAGCTAACTTTAAGATAGCATTTTAATATTGCGAGGCAGGAAAGCTCTTTCTGTACTTCACTCCATTTTTTGTACATTAGAAACAACTATTTTAGTGATGTCCTTCATATAGAACAATCACACATGGACCAGATACCCTTTCTGAGCAGACCAGTATGGAAGACAAAATAGAATTTAATAACTAATACAGATATTAATGCAATACTCATTGATTCTTCCTCAGTTAGGCTTAAAAGGTGATAAAGGTATGCTTTTCAAGGAACTATATAAATTGTATAAAACATAATAAAGTATACCTGAAGTGGTCATAGGAGAATTCTTCCAGAGTATATGGCTTCACATTTGCATTTTCTTCCTCAGGTTCCTCCACATGAGAGTTTAGAGATACTAACCTCCGTTGTTCAGGTGACATCATGAGCAAGCTCTGGAAAAATATGGTCATTTGAAGACACTCCACTTATTGCCATGGCAGCAACATAATATCAGAAATTAATTCCATGTATGGATTTTCAGGCAAAGATTTGTGAGCAGGACTTCTCTTTCTGCTAGGTTTGCTCAAATGTGTTTGTCAGAAAAAGACAAGGAAGGAAGCATCTCAGCGTTTTTCTAATGTTAGAGGATTCATCCCAAAAAGGATTCTCAAAGGGGCTAGTGCTGTACTTGAGCAAGCTCAATGGAACACATTATGAAATTTAGCAATTAATTATTATATATCTAAATATTTAGGCCAATGGACAATATTTTTATCTCACATAGATTCTGATAACAATCTTATAAGAATAATCACATTTATAACATTATATTAGATACCTATGGATTACAGTAATTTTCTGTGCAAGCTTCATTATTCTGTTATATAAAGTTAGGCAGGAAAATTAGTACCAGGGCAAAGTTAACTTTTAAGACCAAAAAACTAAAAACAAAATGGGAATCTGTCTGAGCATCCACTGTTAAACACAGAATTGAGGTCCCAAGTTAAAGAGAAAATTCCAAGTGGAGAGTAAAACATCCTTAAATCTGCTGTTAGAGATAACACTGTAATAGTTCAATATCCAAATATGTAAATTAGCATGTAGAAAGAACAGCTGAAACTCTACAAAGATTTAGGGACCAAAGTCTATCAATGCCTAAAAAGACTGATATTCCACATATTGAAAAGAAAGGGACAATATCACTTATTACTTGGATTCATTAATGTCTTCAATCATTAGAAGCCTGTTTTCAAGTCATCAGTTTTGAAAAGGTGCAGAGAAGAGGTTTAGGACTGATTACTATGCTTGTTGGATTGAGGCTATCACAAGGGATTAGTCAAACATCATTAGAAGGAACAGCACAGCATCTAAACTGTAATCTGTTTTAATCTGGTCTCTGTAGGCATCAGGATGGCCTAAGATACCTCCTTTACTGCAATTAAAAAGACCGCTCTGTGTGACTTTTTAAAAAAGAAATTCTTGTAATTGAAAAAAATGAAGTGGGAATTTGGCTTAAGCATTCTTACAAATTAAATCTAGCTAGTGGCTGAAGTACTATGCCTTGTTTGCCATATGGCTAGAAGGAAGAAGATAAACTGGAGTGGTAAAGAATATCTTAGAAGTTGACAAAGAGCTATTTTAGAAGAGTGTCCTTCAATCCTTCTTTTTTCCACTATTAGTTTACTATCTTTATTATTCAGGGAATAGAGTGGCAGTCATTTATCAGAGTTAAGCATTGCATCTGCATTATTTGATCCTTACCAATATTTGACTGGAAGGCTTTGTAACTGTAGGGATGATATAGATGGTCTCTGATGACACAAGCCCAGAACTATTGGTTCGCTCATTTTGAGCAGGGATCCAGCCTTGATTTTCTCCTAGTCTTTTGTCTTGGGTTAAAATCAACAAGTCCCCCTTTTTGAAGGCCAAAATGGTAGTGTCACCTGAAAAATAAAAACTGAAGCATATTATTTCAGCTATTATACATGTCCTCTTTCTGACAATGTCAAAATACCATTATCTCTATTTTGTGTAAGCATAGATACTTCAGGCTATGTCATACAGTGGCTATAACATGTTTAATATCAGTGTTTTCTACCACTTCTTCATCTAGTAGAAAAAGATTGCATTATATTTTTTACTAGCATTACTGGGGGAAAAAATAGCCTGATGACCTTTTTCTCTGCAATTGATAGGAAAAGTCAAATTACACAAAGATAACAAGTAAGATACTCATGAATTCCCAAGAAAGAAACAAACTCTTTCAAAAGAGAGATTATGATAAGCAGGGCTTTTTTTCTCATAGAACGCCTAGAATGGAGTTCCGGCACCTTTTTTGGATGGAACCTTGTACGGTTGGCAAGACGGGTTGTATGACGTGTGTGAGTTCCGGCACCTTTTTTTTTTCTTTCAAAAAAAGCACTGATGATAAGGATCTGATACATCTGTAGCTGTTTTTGCATCACCTTACTATGCCTACCCCATATTACTTGGCCCAGTGGAGAATGGCATGAGAATGGATTCACATATTGCACATGTTACTCTCTTTTTCTTCCTTTTTTTCTTTTCTCTTGCACTTTATATTCTTTTTCTTTTCAGGTTTAATTTGTACTGTCTTTTATTATTTTTAAATAAATATTGTTAATTGTTATGTCTTACAGCACAACATGCAGTTGAACTTTTTCCTCTCTATGCTATAGATTTTTTCTTTTGAACAGCAACAAAAATAAACATATCTAAGTTACCTTGCAGCTTTTTGTCTTGTATTGCCACCGCATAAAGTGATCGCTTTTTCAGCCCTTCCAGGAACATGACTATTAATTCTGCAATTGCAACACTATTGACAGATGTTAAGACAAACTCTTCACCACGCAGTGTGCTAAGGGTGCAGCTTTGCCCAAATGTCTTGACTCCCCTGCAGTCACAAAATATTTCAAAAGAAAATAGTTTGTAAAATGGCAAGAAAACAAAAATCTGATATCCTTCAACTTCTAACATATGCAAGGAGTAAACATTTCTAAACATAGAAGTGTTCCAAATGGACAACCATTAGTGCTACCCAAAAAATCATACTGTATAGCTTTTCCTTTTTTGTAGATATTTTTATACAGAAAAAAATAATATAGTAAGTAAACACAGGAGGATATAAATGGAAACTCAGAAAGGCAAAAAATGGAAGTCCAGATACTGTGTAAAATCCTGTGAACAAAGCATATACTTGTATAATCAAAATAGTTGCAATGTTCCTAAAGCTGAAATAGAATTACTTTGGTTAATTCAACTCTTTCATCTTTCTTTACAGAGATGAATTATATTGCATTAGATTCTCACCCCGGAGGACACAATACTTTAAGAGCTAGAAAAATACTTTCTGAGTAAACAAACTCACTAGGTTTATTCCTTAGGGAAAGAAAACCATGAGAAAAATAGAAACTATTTCAGTTCTTATGACACAATAACAGAAGAATCAAATATAGACAATGATATGATAGCATTGTCCTAAATGTTGACAAAGAGCTCTTTCCAGTCCAGCAAGTCCAATAACAGTACCTGTTGGTATGGATGCCAGTAATTTCTGGAAAAGACAATTCTAGAAGTCTTCTTTCAGTGTCATCTAGGAAACATACCCCTTTCCAATTAATTGCCACAATGAAATGTTTCTTTGGCAGACTGGGCCCTGCAAGCACAATATAAATATTAGCCTTTTTCTACTTTTCACTATACTTCCTCCTACACAAAGTATGTTGCCATCACAGTACCTGAAAATTTAGTAACTTCAAAGAATCTAGAAAAGAGCAGAGGCCACTGATCACGGGCAAAGTCTACCAGTTGCTCCTTTACACATTGTGGGGAAGTCTGGTCCTGTGTGTAAGCCGCCTACAACATACAAGATATATATTGCAGGTCAGTGGGTATATTTCTTGAATATAGTACATTGCACAAAGGCCCTAAAGTACCTCCAACAATGTTCACATATTTATTGTTTAATCAGCAAGTTACAGATAAAAACAATTACAATGAAAATGAATTTAGGCATTTCATTCATACTTGACTTCCCAGCAGCAATAGAAATAGATGCTAATATTAATGTCAAATCCTACATAATTTGGATGTTCATACCTTAGCGTGAGCATATGTGATGAGGTTCACCCACTTCTCTTGGGATTTGGATCTTAGTAGCTTTACTGGGATACATTCTTGGAGAATACTTTGAACCAACTCATTTTGGATGGATTCTCCAAACTTGATATAACAGTATTTGGCTCCAATTTCCACTAAGTCCTCCTCCTATAACAATCAGATTAGTCACTTTTCTGGAAGAGTTCTTAATCCACCTTCATTCCCTAGGCCTGATTAGCTAGACCAAACAAAAGACATATTACTGTATTTCCAGTAATTAAAAAAAAAACCTTCATGGCATGGGATCAGGATACTTGAGGGACCTGTCCATCCTACTGGGATTGGCCCGCCCCATCCATGCTGGCAGAGGAGACATGCTGCAGGTCCCATTGGCCAAGGTATCGAGCTGGCTGCATCCAAGAGAAGAGCCTTCCTTTTGGAATATTTTAAACTCCCCACCCCCCAGAGTGAGATTGTCTCCAAGCCTCCTGACCTGCCGCAAGGACTTAAAAACCTAGTTTTGCCAGCTGGCTTGGGGCTCCAATGGAGGGGTTTCACATGGAAGGTGGTTGATAGATTAATAACAGACCCTCCCTCCCTCCCCTTCTCACCCTACTCCTTCCCTCCCCATCTTTTAACTAGGCTCAGTAATTGGATCTTTACAGTATTTTATTGTGGTAAGAAGGGCAGCCAATGAATTTTACAAACAAACAGATAGTACCTAGAGCAATGGATTTAGAATGATAAATCATTCTTGGCAGAGATATGCTCTTAAAAAGTCACTTTTTCTCCAGGTGGCTTGGGCCTCATAGCCAGAGTACAAAAAAATCTACCTTTTCACAGCAGTATTCTCCAAACCGGATGCCACGTATTATCTGATAATAGATGAGTTCAGTGCTGATGGGATCTTCTTTGGAGTTGTGCCAGGGGGTGAAGATCTCTTTTCTGAAGTAGAGACGCCAAGGAGTGTACTGTCCATGGCCACTCTTCTCTTTTTCCTGTTGTTCACACTGAGAAATGGCATCCATGATGTGATCCCGTCCACTGCCCAGTGACCAGACCTAAGCTCATTGTTAAGGAAAAAAAGTCTGCTCAGGTAAAGAAGTACAAATTATATAATATACTTAATTATATATTAAGTACAAACTTAATACAATAACAACTGAATGAAAATTGCCCAAAAGTTTTAAAGAAAAAATAATAGCATTGTGTATAGCTGTGCATAAATAGGATGGCAAAAGGAAGAGATGGTCTCATATGTTCTTCCACATTAATTGTAGGGCAGGGTGAAACAATCAATTGACACAGATTGAGAAGTTACAGTATATTAATATTCCTATATATGTCTGGGTAAACAATGAAAAAAAATGCCATCGGATTTTTATCACATCCTTCGCACTCCATTGAAGGGCATTTACTTTAACATTATTTGATGCCTATCTTCAATGACTACTACAGGTAAGTATCACCACATTCCTTATTAATGCCACTTTTGTGAGGTTCCGTTTGTGGCACATGGATTACCGGTATGCTCCCTATATCACAGATGGTGCCTTAATCTCATTGAAGTACTTAGTAGTAAGCTTTCTCAGCTAACACAGTAAGTGATCATAGATCAGCTGCGATAAGATCAATGTCCTGAAATATCTAAGAAGGCCACAGAATTCTTACCCATAGCTGTGGTCTTTAGGCACCAATGGCTTTATTCTACAACTAGATAGGTCTAGTGTTTTGTTTTTGTTTTGCTTCTCTATCCACTTACATTCACAGTTGTTGACTGCCTTGTGCCAAAGAACTTCTTGCCAATCTGTGTGCTCCTCTCCTTTTTACGTTTCTGTCACGTTTTATTACCTACATCATACTGGTTTTGCTCTGTTGCAAATACTGTCTGTCTGTCTGTCTGTCTGTCTCTCTCTTTCTAATCTATCTATCTATCTATCTATCTATCTATCTGTCTGTCTGTCTGTCTGTCTGTCTGTCTGTCTGTCTGTCCGTCCGTCCGTCCGTCCGTCCGTCCGTCCGTCCGTCCGTCCATCCATCCATCCATCCATCTATCTATCTATCTATCATCATTTCATTAATTTCTTTACTCTGTCAGTCTATGGCCATCTATTAAATAAATAATTCCAAGAACATTCACAACCTCAACATCCAAGGGGCCTTTATATAAATATTGAACAAATTGGAAAAAAAGTTCACTTAGAATGAGTGTGCAAAGAATGACTTACTTATGTAGCCTGACTAAAATGAACATAAAACACATAGCATGATAGCGACACATATGAGAAAAATACACACCCCTTTAGATCATGGGGGTTATTTTGCTCTCAAACAATGACATTCATATGATCAGATTAAATAGAAGAATACATGGGAAAAATCTTCTGGCTGCATCAATTAAAAAAGCAAAATACCAATTCTGATTATGTGAATTGCTTTCAGTTATAAAACCTCTGAGTGCTTTTAATGTGAGAAAAGGGTAAAGAGGCACGCTGGCTGAGGAATTATGGGAGTTGAAGTCCACAAGTCATAAAAGGGCCAAGTTTGAAGACCCCTGATCTAGAGCCTTGGACTGGCAGCAAAAGAAAAGCCCAAATCATCCAGCCAAGTGTTTTCTGAAGTAATGTTCCCACTCTGGGATACAAAAATAATAAATTAGAAATGAAATTATTTTAAAAAAGTGTGCATTTCCAGTGCATTTATATTGGCATAACACATAACTTCATTTTACCTTATCATACAATGCAATGTAGAGAGAGAAACCAAATGTGTCTTTCAAGCTCATTTGATCAGCTACCAGCTGGCAGATCTCCTTTGCAGTGGAGGCTGAATCTGCAAGCACTTTGGTACTGTTGCCATTCATCATGATTACACTAAGTGTAATTGGCTTCTTATTCTTGGTTGCCTAAAAAGCAAAGTTAAGTAAGTACTAAGAAATAGAAGTCTAATCCACACATGAAGAAGATTGAATCTCAACTTTTACAATATAGTGTATATAGATTACCCCTACATCTAGTTAGGAAAGGCTTTGTGAAACTGTTAGAATAGTTTAATCAATGTTTAACTTTTTCATGCCTTTTAGTGCCTTAATGCTAAAAATGTGGCAAATATCTGTAGCTCAGTTTTAGGATGAGGGTGGAGATTCATTCTCTGAGCTTGTGGGTTGGTTTCTGAACATTTCATTACCAGGCTAGATAACATCTTCAGCGGAGTTTAGGGGATGTCAGTGTTCTTCTGTTTATAAAGGCTTTGTGTGGGCAGTAGATCTTGTGATGGAGAGGTATGGGTCTTGTGATGGGTCAGTATGGGTTGCATCAAGTGAGGGTCTTATGATGGGTCAGTATGAATCACATCAGCAGCACTGACCCTCAACTAACACACGCAACCCCCCCATGCCCCCACCCAGCACTTCACCTCCCAATGACCCTCACCTGATGTGATCTCCCCATCATAAGATCCATCACAAGACCCTCACATGACACATCCCACATCTGACCCATCAGAAGACCCATCACAATGGCAATTCTAATCCAACATATCTGAAGGATATCAGATTGGAAAAGATTAAATTAGATAGATTACCTGTCCTGTCCTATCATACCATAGTTTTTGATGTGAGAAAAGGGAAGATAAAAATGTAATGTAATTTGGGTAATAGTTACCTGCAGCTCCATCCAGCTAGGTGGTTCAGATCGTGTTCCATTCATATACGTTCGCCTCAACCTTTCAGAACAATATGGTGCATACAATAATGGTCCACACCGAATGAAATTGAGTAGATACTACAGTAGTATGAAGTAAAATAAGTTATTTGAAAGCATATATCCACATAGACTTGTTAGGATCTTCTATAACAGTAAGTAGAACATAGTGAAAATGTTTATAGTCAATTCCATATTACTCTTTGCACTTTGAATATCATGTCTCCAGTATAATAATATTCTTTAAATACTCTTTAAGAATGAGCTTGACAAAGTAGAAAGTGAAATCATTCTTTAGGCTGCAAACATGAAAATGTTTGGCCTGTGTCTGAAAACTGCAAATGTCAACCTTCAGTGTGTAAGACAGAAACAAATTTCACAATGGTATCAAAATCCAAATGTTGCCAATATGACGTTTTTAGGATAGCACTAACCCAGAAAGCGGCCAGGAATTGGGAGTGAACAGGAAGAAAGCCAAGATATACAATAAGAAGGGAAACACCAGAAAGAATAGAAAATATTTACTGCAGAATTTTGCATTAGGCAACTATGGACTAGAGCAGAGCTTAGCAATTTATACCCAAAACCATCTAGCCCATGGTCCTAAATAAAATATATTTACCTCACTTGCACAGAAAGAGTGCTTGCTGCCTCCTCGGGCAACCATTTTAACTATGGCTTGACTAGCTGTCTCTGTACAACTTGTGCAAAAAGTACCCCTGAATGGTGGCAGTAGTACGGCCTCTGGCCCTACGCTGAAGATGTTTGTCACCCCAGGGCTAAAACTTTATTCTACGCATGATCCTTAATCACTAACTGAGGTAGCTTTCACTACGAGCAAACAATTACAGAATCAGTACCTTCACAAACTGGTCTGAAGGGCAGAAAGAACCAAGGCAGAGTGACAGTAAGATCCAACCTCTATGATAACTAGTTTTATTGTTATTTTCAGTGAGTTGTTTGCAGATCTGGCAATAAATCTCATCCCTGTTATATAAAACAAATAAGCAGGCATTTTGTTATGTTTCAAGTTCATCATCTCAGAGGCTAGCAAACTTTTCTGGCCAGAGATTACATTTAATTACATTTTTTTTTTTTTAAAAAAAAGGACTGTGCTCTCAGCTGGACGCAGCAGGGATGAAGAGCCAAAAGATTTGCCTTTCCTCCTTTTGGGAATGTAGGATTTAATGACATTCCTATTTTGTATAATGAGGGGGGGAAGGAAAATCGTAGAAGGGGGAAAAAAAGATTTTAAAAACCCAAAACAAAACGAATAGGAAAATGCACAATTGAAGGGTCATGGTGGAAAGATGGAAAAGTGTTGAAGATATCTCTCATTCTCTGTTACTTGTCATGCATTTTGGTTTTCAGGGTTATTTCATGTCCTGTACACAGTTTTACCTATAACAGTGATGGCGAATCTTTTAGAGACCGAGTACCCAAACTGCAACCCAAAACCTACTTATTTATTGCCGGGTGCCAGATGGGCATGGCCCACTAGGTGGGTGTGGCTGTGGTGATCATGGCAGACTGGGTGGGTGTGGCCAAGGTGGTCATGATCATGGTCACCTCGATGTTGCTCATAGGGAAGGACGCCTGTGGGGGTTGGGCAGGGTTGGGGGAGATCCAGGGGGTCTCTGGCAGGTGGGGTGGTGGGCAGGAGGCTCGTCCTGCGGGTGAGGCAAGGCAAGGCGAGGCAGGGCGGGGGTGCCATTGTTGCAGGGTAAAGCGAGGCAGGGGCTGGGGCGGCTGCTGCCTGACACCATCGGCCCCCGCACACAGGCCAGCGAACGCATGGGGGCCGACAGTGTCCATCAGCAGCCACAGCCTGCTGGCCCCTTGACCTGTGCACTCTGGGGCTCCGCAAACCGCCGCCAACAGTTCAGAGAAGCCACTCTGAGCTGGACAGATAGCCGACAGCTGAGGAGGTGATGCAGTGGGTCGTGCCCGGGAAAAGGAGAGCCTGCGAGGCCAGGAGGGATGGGATGGAGGGGAGGGAAACCAGCCATGCTGGGACGCATCTGGCCACATGGGACCTTGGTGAGTTAGTGGGTGTCTGGTTGAAGAAGGACAGTTGCCATCTCCTGGGCATGGCGCGCGTGCCCACAGAGAGGGCTCTGTGCCACCTCTGGCACACGTGCCATAGGTTCGCCACCACTGACCTATAACAATGTTTACTTAAACTATCAGGCAGGGAAAACAAATCCAACCAATGAGTCCACTAGATTTCACCCTTGTTATGAAATTGACTGAACAAAAAATGGAGGCTTTCAGGTGAAATTTAAGAGATTTAAAACCTCACACATGATATTGTTCTAAGATTAAATGTAATCTTAGCTAAAATATTTTATGACTTTTGTTTAAAAATGCAACCGATGTAAAAATAAACAGCATATATAGCATTATATTTAAAAATCTTGAAAATCAGCTCAAGAGCAATAGAAAAAACTTTGCTTCAAGCTTCTTGCAAAGAAAATAAAAAATGACATCGGCCATCAGAAGAAGTAATCTTCAGAGTTTTAATGTCAGACGTACAAGGAACCAGTGTCATAGCCACCAACCACATAATTAGTGATATCAGGAACACCACTGATAAAGCTAAATAGCTTTTTATATAGCCTTATTTCACACACATACACAATTACAATGCCTGAAGGAAACCTGAGTTTTATTCAAGCCATTTTAGATGTGCTTCTAGATCTGGATCCATGCATTTGCTATTGAAAATAATGGTATTATTTAATAAATGTAATACCTGATGGCAGGACGCAGGATAGCATTTCCAATGATAAACTGCACTTTTTCAAGGTTAGACATAGGCCTCTCAGACTCAGAGCATTCCTCCTGAAACATATCTTCCCCATCCATCAACTGGCTTTTTATCTAAAATAAACATAAAACCATTCACCCTCTTTTGATTAGGATTATTTTAAAAGGCACCCAATCCATGCTAGAATGGAAAACCAGCTCAGCCCCTCCAACCTGGTGTACTTTAAATGTTTGGACCAGACTAATCTCAAAACAAAGTAGGAAGGTCCTACTATAGGCAAGATATATGCTCCATTCATCTCATGTTGCTTTGGACATAAGATGTCTGTCTGTTCACTGGCAATCTACTTTGTTGACATTATTCTTTTTATATTCAAGATACAAGAGGAGAGGGAAACATCTGCATATGTCTGCTGCTCTCTCAGAAAGTTTTTGCCTTGCAATAAGCCACACACAAAGTATATTTTCAATAGGAGACTGTAATGCCTTTTGGATGGTGAGAAGAAAATATGGAACAAACCTTATCAGCCATTTTGGAGTTGCGCTTCAGTTTCACAGAAGAAATTACCTTGGATAACTTGTTAACTTTTTTGCTGTCTACCTAGATTATCCAATTTATGAAGAAAAAAAAGAGTTAGCTTGATTCCCCCAAACCGATAGAAACTGCTAAACAGAAGGGGAGCCATCATTCATAAGCATTTGGAAAGCAACTGTTTTCTCCTCTTTGTAGTGTCACTTAATTACCCATATTACTGCTTATGTTACTATTTTTATATTATGATTTTATATTAGCATTTTAAGTTACTTGTCTTCAGAAATGGAATGGCGTAAATGCTGCAACAAATAATTGTGTCATGGTTCCTATAGGTGAAACCATTTAAAAGAACTTCAAGGCAAGTTCCTTCATCTAAAATCTCTAAACTAAAATATGGCAACAAAGACAAAATGAAAAATGGCTTCAATTCAGTTTGTCATAGCATTGACAAATTGGTTAAATAATAGCTATTAATTAATGGCTCCCTTGAGTCCAGAGTTTGACAAAATGTTATTGTCAAAGCAAGAATATACAATATTAGCAGAGTCTTTATTAGACTCAATACATTTGTCATATAGAAAAATGTCACATTCTAAGACATTAATGCTCTACTAGCAGTATACAGTAAGCTTTAGAAAATTACTTAATATAGTTAAAGAACTTTTAAAAGTCAAAAACATTACAGAGTGAGAAGGATTTTTAGGAGACTGAATTTAAGAAGAAATTGTGGCAGCAAACCATTCTCATCTTATTTTACTGATGGAATGGAACTAGGTTTCTTATGTACTATGGAATATATAGAAAGAATTGAACTGAGTCTGCTTCCTTTTTAGTAAGATTCATGCTGAGTCTTTCTAGTGTTTTGTAGACACTTTAGAATAACTTCCTGGCAGTGTTATAAATCATGCAAATGGAATGTAGTGCTTTCTTTTCACTAAACAGAGTGCTAATAAACTTTGACCCAATTTTCTGGCTAAACCAAAACTGCTTACAATTAACAATAGCACAATTATGGACAGTTACCTTATCAAGCATCTGAAGTGTCATCTTGTGTGCCATGTACAAACCACAGACTCTGGGCTTCAATGGTTTTATAAATGTTTGCTCTGTCTTTGGGACTTAAATTTAATTTATTGTGCCTTAACATTTAAGTCCCAAAAACAGAGCAAACATTTCTAAAATCACTGAAGCCAAGAGTCTATGGTTTGTACATGGCACACAAGATGACACTTCAGATGCTTGATATCTCTCTGAAAAGATGAACTTTATCAAGCTCTTCACAGGTTACAAATATTTGTTGGCTGCGGAGTTCAAATTGTCCACAGTTGCCCATATTATGAACCACTGAACTAAATGCTGTAGCACTTGCCCAGATCACAGATGTCAACATGGTAGGTGACATCAAATGCTTCCCCTGATGCTATTTAGGCTTCTTGTCCTACTGGCTTCTGTTAGATCTTTTTAATTAAAATGATAGGAAACTAGCATGCTGCAAAGCAAAATAGCATTATAAAGCATTCTAATTTTTCTATTTAAATACGCTTATAGCAATGAAAAATATTTTTCCCTTACTAGGTCTGGATGATAACTGCTTACAGGCTGCGGTTTGCTGTTCTTGCCAAAGCTCTCATAAATCTGGGTCTCCTTGGAACTTCTCTTGCTATTGATATTCTGCACTCTTTCTGGCAAATCACCCATGAACTGCAAAATGATGGTCCATACAGCTAGAGATGCCTAGTGAGAACAGATAGTAGACATACTGTCCTTGCAATTATAATGCATTTAAATAACAAATACTTATTAGCTGAATGAACAGAAATTAACATCCTTGGTTTTTGTACATCAGCACATGAATGTATTTAATTCCTATTGAACATTATGAGAATTACTATACAGTTATAATAATAAACATGATGTGGTGTGAGAAACACTAGCAACTCATTCAGTAGATGATTTTACCATTTTGTCCAATCAAGTCAATTTTGTTACAATTTCACTGTTGCCTTATTTTGAGGCCAACATTTAAGAAAGAGAAAACTGCATGTGATTCACATTAAATACAATTACTGTACTTAATGCGTACTTCCCAAAATAAAATATGGAAACAAATATTAATAATTCATTGTATAAATTTTGCCAGGAAAAAATGGGCACAAATTTTGCCTGAAAATATTATAAGACATCTGGAATGTGCAAATTAGAGAAGGCTAATCTAAATTACACTTATGGTCTTACTGCATATTTGCCTTTATCTCAATTTTAGGTCTTTATCATGTTTTATGAAGTAAGTTGCTAAGTGTCATTTTTTTTAATTAAATAGCAATGAACAAACATAATGTATCATAATGTGCCATTTCTAATGGATAACCCTTCAAGTTGCAAGACAGATAGTGATATGTTGCTTCAATATTTCTACATGCTTATGTTAAATATAGTTAATGTTTTCAAAATTGGCTGAACAAAAATATTTTAAACTAACTGATAAACAAATAGTTCTAACTAGATAGTTTAGTAACAAATGAATACTTTAAGCAGGGGTAGTCAACCTTGGCTCTTTTATGACTCGTGGACTTCAACTCCCAGAATTCCTGAACCAGCTGGCTCAGGAATTCTGGGAGTTGAAGTCCACGAGTCATAAAAGAGCCAAGGTTGACTACCCCTGCTTTAAAGCCTTCAGGGTCCAAATAGGGTGACGTTAGTATTTTAGTTCACTGGACAGTTGACAGAGGAATAGGTTATGCAGAAGATTAACACTACAGCAGACTTTTCTATCAGGGTTTAAGCCTTTATCATTCTGCACAGATTTGTCCTTAAAAAAATGCTTGAAAACAATATCTTCTGAAGAATTCATCAGCCAAACAACAGAATATTCATTTAGAAAGTTACAAAGGCTGCTTACATGTTTCTGAGCCAATTTCAATGTTCTGATTTTTGCCTACAACATCCTGAAAAAATTGAGGACAAACTGCATTCCTCAACTGCAGCCACTTGTGTCTTTCAGCAATTAGACAAAATGAGAACGTGGGGATTAAAGCAGACAACTTTATACATGGCCATTGCCTCAATTGTCTAGAACTCCTTGTCATGGTAGGTTAGGTTGGTTTCTTTGTTTCTGATCTTTATATATTGTTGGTAACTTTTTCATTGAGCTTGGAATGACAAATGTTCCCTGTTTTATAAATAAAGGGTTAATTAAAATTGAAGTAAGATTGAACTGTTAATATTTGCACTTATTAGATGACTGAGAAAGACCAATTTATAGGAGATAAGGCCATGACCATCAATTGCTATAATAACATCTTCTAAATTTACTTTTGGGGGGGGGCTTTGAGGCAGTGCTAGCTCCTAGCAACTCCTTAGTCACTGCAGTTTTCTTGGCAAGATTATAAGAAATAGTTTGCTTTTCTTTTCTTCTTAGGGCTTCCAGAGAGACAGCAATTGACCCAAAGTCACCCAGCTGGCTTGGTGCCTAAAGTGACACTAAACCTCAGCCTCCTTGTTTCTAATCTGGTGCCTTAAAACATACATAGAATATACAATATACAAACACAATAAAAACCAACATAACCCAATACAATTATTATCCACATCACCGCATTGACATCCATTGTATAATATTCATTACAGTAGGCAGCACCACATTTCAAATTATCAGAAAAACATAGTCTGATTCAGAACAACTTACTCTTCAGTCCCTGAAGCCTATGTAACAAACAGTGTTTTAATTTCTCTACTTATTATCAGGGAAAGAAAACAAACTGTTTCAAATTTATTCCAAAGGCAATTTATTAAGCATTACTTCAAGGAACTGGGAGTTTTGCTTTTAAAAACACATTAAATTAAGATAAATAATTACCAAAATATCATCCTTTTCATCATGATAAAGCAAAGGGTGGCGCAGGGGACGTCTAATGTGTGTATAAGTGGCAGATCCCTGGAAGTAAGTTGCTGCAAATTTGGGGAAGGTGTATTGTGCCAAGTCATCTGACTCCTCATCCAGCTCTATGGTTATGGGGATCATATCCAGGTCTATCTCATTCAGTTTGTGCATCTGTGTTTTTTTCTCCAGGTCCTACAAGGTACAGAAATAGAAAAATAGTTTTATTTCCCTAGTGTTTTTAACCTGCTTTTTGCCTTGATAGAACAAGGTGTTGAAGCTGCAGGCAGAAAAGCTTTAAATAATGTCCTCTTCAGCATTCAGGGATTGCATTCCAGGCAAGAAATGGTAGATAGAAGACGATTCCACAAAAAGGGAAGCCTATGACTACAGTGGAATGAAGAACCAGCAAGTAGGTCTCTCTGGACAAGTACTCCAGATAGCTGTTCCTTGTGAAGAGATTGACAGGCAGCAGTCTCCAGCAGGTTTATAGCTCTGGGAAATGAGGGAACAGCCATCTTGCTCAAATTGCTATGGCAACCTCAGAGATTTGACCTCTGAGAAATGTGGGTTCTCTGGCCAAGTTCATCATGACTCCCATTTTATTTATATATTCATAGAAAATAAAAGTGAATGGCTGAAATCCATTGCTCTGCTATTGCAAGGTATTCACTGCCCAGAAATAGGACAACTGTAAGTTGAGGTGGTGGATAAAGGAAGTAATGTGAAGTAACTTTATCAATTTGCTTTCTGGTAAAACAATATTTTTTATTTTGGTCACAACCAGCAATGCAGCCATTTTCACGATATATTTTGAAATTTTCAAATGTGCTTATTAGTCCCCAAAGTTACTTCATTGTTCAAGAAGCACAATCAGGAATACTAGCCTTATATTTATTACAAGGTTACATTAACAGAAACTTGCAAGTCTGAAAGTACCCTTTGGTACTGATATGCAGGTTCTGAGGTTTTGCTTGATAAAAAAAATACAGGAAACCAGAAGTTGGCTTTAAGCTTTTACGTTTTTATTCAGCTGAACAAATACGGACTCCTCTAAAGAGAGAAGCCCCGAATGACAAGAAATCCTTGTATTTATTCTTTCTGATTACATAAGCAACCCATCCAGCAAAGCTGACACACATAAGATAAAGATTTCACCCAGTAAGTCTGGCACACTGTAGATAAGAAGGGAGAAAGCAGAAGTAGCTAAACATGTTCCCTTTTGGGTGTTTCCCTAAAGATATCGTATGTTCTCAGGTGGGTTAGGACATTGGGTGTTTTCCTTGCTGTCCTTTCATGACCCTGCATCCAGGACTCTGCAAGTGCCCAAAGACAGCAGGTCATCTGCACACCCTCACAACCGACACTTCCCATACTATCTCCTAATTCCGGGTCAACAGTACCTCACTTTTACTCTCCAAAAATTAGGGAGGGTCCCTCCTAGATGCTTTTGCCACCCTTCTCCTTTGGACTCAGATTTTGTTTACCAGACTGTTGTCTAGGCTAGGTAATGTGCTCTTTCCCACATACCATTACAATAGACAATCAATTTAATTATTTCTCCACATCTTCTTACCTCAAAGCCCAAAGGAGCTTGGCCTTCTTGCCCCCCAATGAAAGAAGGCAAGAAACCAAATACTCTGTCCACCATTTCCTGGTCACTGATGACATCATATAGTGATTCAGGTTTCTTTTCTTCAGATTCCTTTACTTTTAATTTCTTAGCATAATCTTTTGATCCTGGAATTACCAAACGTTTCTGTAAATAAATGGTAGGAATCCATTAAGCTGGACTTAGGGATTGAGTTACGACTTTATATGTACAAATTGCACTTTATAGCTACTCCTGCATCATCATAACAAAGTAACAAAATTAGTTACTTATTCAATGATTTGACACTGGAAAATTCAATAATAATTGTGTTCTTACCAATTTATTAAACATTGCTTCAAGGAACTGTTAACAGAAAGCTACAGTATTTCTTTATTTATTTTGGCCAGTGAAATGGCTCATCTACAAGCAGAAGGAATCTCACTCAAGAGCTTCAGAACGGAGAACCTGATATGTTGATACAGGTAAATGGGCAGAGAAATCTGAGCGATGCAAAAATCAAGCACTAATGAACTAAGATATTTTCCTTTTCTTGCCTTCTTTAGAGGAATGAGAGTACTCTTCTAGGGCTGGCTCAAAACCAAGATAAGTAGCATCCAGATTCAGAAGCCAGGCTGGAAACCTAAGAAAAGACTTGCAATCTAAGAACTAATGAAGCTCAATATGAGTTGGTATCTGGATTTAATTACACAGAAGATTATTTGAGTTTGGTGACATTATTATACCTTGTTGTTTTTCCATCTCTGTCTCTGTCTTCCTGGTTGAAGGAGTTGCTACTGAGATAATCCTTTCAGAAGTCAGTTTTATTTTATCTTTTTCCTCCTTTCCTTTTGTTCTTTCAACTCTTTAATTCTTTAAGTAAACTAAACACATCATATAGACTTGATTCTTACTAACTGTGTGACTCCATTCTGAAAGGGTTTTAATATCATCATATGTATTCCTTCTGCTGACTACTCCCAAGTCTACTCCCAAGTAACTCTGGTCCAGAAAGGATTTCTCTGTGGAAGAGTACCTGATGATAGCATTTACTAAATGGGCTCTCCTTAGGATCATGGGACATTGTAAGATTTGCAGAGGAAGAGGCCTTAGAGGGTCCCACCTGAGGCAGTCAGGCAGAACACACACCAACATCCTAAGCATGTGTGCCTTCAAGTGCATCCCATTACACCTTAAAACTCACTTTAAAGCAAAATATTGCGTTCACCCTTTTCAAGGAATTGTTGTAGAAGAAAACTTTACACATCTTATCTTCTATTAAATAAAGAATTGAGATTATTCAGCAACTTAGGTATTGAAGGATTGTCATCGATAAGAGATAGGGCAAATTTTTTCAGAAGAAGGAATAGGTTTTAACTGGAGGGGAGCAGATTTTCGTTGAACATCAGGACAAGTACTGGTGGAAATAGCTAATCATTGGCAAAACCGACTGCCCCAGGAAAGGGTGAATTCTCTTTCTCTGAAAAAAATTAAGTAAATGCCTAATTGCCATCTGTCAGGGATGTATAATATGGATTGCTGCATTGACAATAATCTTAGGTAATTTTGAAACTGTTACTTTTAAGCATTTACAGAAACAGGTTGGCTATAACACTAATTTTAGCCATTCTGTTCTTATATCCTAGTTATGATTTTCCAGGCTCTCCACCTTAATTATAGTATACAAGCTACAACTAGTCACTCTCTTTGGAAGCATTAGGTATTACATAGCTATTTTATTCTATCATCTTATCAAAATCACTCTTCTGCACAATTTTTATGGACAAGACTTGTGCTGTGATTCCTATTTCCATGCTTCTTTCCTACCTTCTTCATTTTGTGCAAACTCTTACGAACAAACATTCCCCTGGCATAAGCCTGTATCACACAAGCAGCTTTCAGCTGCTCAGCAATTTTCTGGCGCATCAAGTAACCTCTGCACAACGCTTGAAACTTAATCACATTGCCACGGGCTTCTTCGTACTTCTTCATAAGCTGTTTGCTCCGGAAAAGGGCTTGCAGACGTTCAAATCCCAACACGAGCTATATGGGAGAAAGAACAGCCTGACTTTAATTGTGGCACGAAACATCTTCTGTTGCTGAACCTCAAGGTTAAAGGCAAGCTCTTACCATTCTAAATTTTTTCCGAGCGAAGTGTCCTCTCCAGGCAGCCTGTATAACTACAGCACTATGTCTCTGCTTCAGAAACTGTTTCCTTTACAAAGAAAGAATAACAACAAACACAACTAAGTTATTCCGCAAAGACAAAGAATATTAAAGGAGTGTTCAGAGCACGCTCAATGGAACAGGTACTGGAGAACTAAGTTATCCCAAAAAAGAAATCAGGAAAGTACCCTAATTATATCAAGACCAAGTGATTTCATTTTCTTTATGGAAACAGTGACATGTGAACTCTCTCTTCTATGATGTGTACTGGAATTATCTTAAATAGACATGACCTTCTCCAAGTGGTTTTTTCGTTAAAACTAATGCTTTAATGTTCAATGTACCATGAATTTAGAGAGAAAAAAGTTCATGTGCCTAAATGAGTTAAAGTGATTTAGCATGTTTTTAGAGGAAATTAGGTATCTGCTGTGGCTCCATTATTGTGGACATGAAGGCTTGGAAAAAATAGTAATAAATGACTGATTTAAATGCAGTGATCCTCTTGCTCTATGGATAGTGTTCCATTCATTACCATTTCCTATTTCTTTTCCAACTTTCCATGCTTATTGAACATGCTGGACTATTTCTTTGTTTCTCTTTTACATTTTTTTTAAATTCATGAACCTTATCCTTTCATTTCTTGTTAGCCAAATAGGGTAGACAACACATTGATTTGTTGGTTATGGGGTCACATAACAGGAAGGGGTCCAAAAAGTCAAGATGGCATCCATAACCATGCAAACAAAGCCCACCCTTTTAACATGTGATGCAGTGAACATAAAAATGGGTGGGATTTCAATTACCTGAAAGTGGCTGTCATCTTGTCTTTTTGGACACCCCTCCCCCCATGATCACTACTACTTATGGGCTTTCCTCATTCTTTCCCTTCATCCTTCCCATTCTGGAATGGAAGGCCAATGTTTTGCCTCCTAGGCTATAAACTACCATCTTTTTTCTCCTTCCTGCCCATTTTTACTCTATGAGGACTTTATTGGTAAACAAAGCCCTCCTCATTCAAGATCTTATTCAAGAGGGGGGTGCGGACCTGGCAGGTATCACCGAGACCTGGCTGGGCACGGAAGGGGGAGTGCCCCTCGTTGACATTTGCCCGCCGGGTTTCCAGGTATTCCATCAGCCAAGGACCCGGGGTAGGGGCGGTGGGGTAGCAGTCATTATAAGGGAGAACCTATGTCCGAGGGAGACCACTGTGCCTCAGATAGACGGTGGAGAGTCCCTCCTTGTGAAGTGGGGGCAGGGGGTTCAAGTGGGCCTGTTGATTATATACCTGGCTCCCTGCTATGTATCAACGGCCCTGCCTGAGTTGGCCGACGTAATAGCCAGGGTGGCAGTTGAGACCCCCAGACTTATAGTCATGGGGGATTTCAATCTGCCATCGGCGGGCGAAACGTCGGCGGCGGCTCGGGAGTTCTTGGCCTCCATGACGGCCTTGGACTTGACCCAATTAGTTCATGCCCCAACTCACACGGGGGGACACATACTAGATCTAATTTTTGTCTCTGGCCAGTGGCAGAATGATCTGGAAATGGGGGAGGTAGTTGTAGAGCCCCTGTCATGGTCAGATCATTCACTCCTCAGGATGGACTTCCGGACCGCCCCCCCCC